CCTTTTGTTCTTTAAACTTCTCACTTCTTTCTCTTGGAAAATCTCATCAACTCCATCCAACCATGACTTTCTCAATCTTCACGTTCCTTTCAGTTTATTCACTCTTTTATTTATTTGTTTTGTGATTTGATCCTCATTCATTCTCTCTACATGGCCAAACCATCTCAATGTTTTTTCTTTCATACTGGTCATTCACTTTTATGTTCAGTTTATTTTCATCCATTCATTCACCATCCATTCATTCTTGCCTTCACTGTTTAAGAACCCCATTCCCACTGCTGCATTCACATTATGTTTATGTTTAGCTTGAGATATGAAAGTCTCACTTCCAAATAATAAGGTGAGTGGAAGCACACTCTTATACAACAACAGACCACATGCCACTTATTACCTCTCTACCAGCAGGTGTACAGGTTAATGTTTTCCCATCCATTCTCCCATCTTTAGCAGAGTTTCTTCCAACAGAGACAAATTAATCTTCTTACTCTGGTTTTTTTTTTTTTTTTGCCATGTTTTTAATTGTTCCCTGTTAAACACAACTAACTTGCTCTTCAATACATTAATTTTCATATCAGTTACTTGTTGCATCATACAGACTATATAACATTCACTGCAAATAATTTGAGTTCTCAGCCAGTAGCACAGCATTTTCTGCTCATGAAAGTACATACACATTAAAGCTTCCAACCAATACATCTCCAGCTTTACCACAAGATTTTTCTTCTGCATACCTGTATATCCATAAATATATTAAACATCACAAGCATTCCTTATAAATTTATCCATAAATATATTAAACAATGTTGAACTATGTGCTGAATGTTCAGTTTTTCCCCACACAAGCTTTTGATTGATTGACTGATTATGTGCCATCAAGTTGATCTTAGTGTCCACATAGATGGATTTTCTCCATGATGACCTGTTCCCTAACCTAGTCTTTCAGGACTTCTGACAGTGCACTCATTGCCACTGTATCTGTATCTACATTACTGCTGGTTGTCCTCTTCTCTTTCCTTCCACCTTTCGCAGTATTAGAGCCTTTTCTAAAGGGCAGAGTCTTCACATAATGTGCATGAAGAAGGATGATTTGAGCCTGGTCATTTGTGCCTTGAGTGAGAATTCTGGACTGATTTGTTCAATGATCCATTTGTTTGTTTTCTTGGCTGTCCATGGTACTCTCAGGAGTTTTCTTCAATACTAAAGACAAAAGTGTCAATATTCTTCCCATCCTGTTTTTCAAAGTCCAATTTTTACTTCCATAGAGTGTCACAGGGGATACCATTGCTTGCATGATTCTGTTCTTTGCAGTTATACACACATCACAGCATCTGAATATCTTTCCCAAGACCTGCATGTCTGCTCTACCAAGTGCCAGTCTGCCTCATATTTTTTGACTGCTTGTACCTTTACTATTGATGGTTGATTCTAAAAGACATTTTCAGCTATTAGAGTAGTGTCAACAGCATAGTGCAGGTTTTTGATGTTGCTTCCTCCACTTTTAAAACTGCACTCATCCTCTTCTAATCCAGCTTCCCTAAATATATATTCAGCATATAGGTTGAATAAATAAGGGAAAAGTATACAGCCTTGTCTCACTCCTTTGCCAACCTAGAGCCAATCTGTTGCACCATGTTCTGTCCATACTGTGGCTTCCTGACCTTTACATAGGTTTCCCATGAGGATAATGAGATATTCTGGGATTCCATTTTTCTAAGCACATTCCACAGCTTGATGTGGAACATATAGCTTTTCTATAAGCAATGAAGCACATACTGACCTCTTTTTGGTATTCTTTGGATTTCTCAATTATCGAGCATGCATCAGAAATAATGTCTTATGATCCTCAGCCTTTTCTAAAGACAGCTTGAAAATCTGGCATTGGATGGTCACAAGCATGATTTTGCTAGCATGTGAAATTAAAGATTTTGCACAATAATTTGCACACTCTGTTAAATCTTCCTTTATGGATTGGTTCTGTCTCCCCTGTTTTTAACATCTATGTGAAGCCACTGGGAGAGATAATCAAATACAGTAGTTTGGGGTATAGTATCATCAGTATGCTGATGATACCCAACTGTACATCGCTACCCAGGCTTTGAAAGAGATGCTGTCAATGTCCTTTCCCAATGCGTGGAGAAGGTCAGGTTCTGGATGGGAGCCAACAGGCTGAAGTTGTACCCTAGTAAGTTTGAGTTGCTGTGGATATATTGAGATTCTTTGTCACCACAAATTCCGGGGGTGGCATGGCGAACTGAAGACATCTCCATGAAAGTGGAGCCGACGATTGTGGCAAAGACTGAAGAACTGGTCAGTAGACCGGTTCTTTGGAATCTCTCTGGACAAGGAGAGGACAGGAGATCACCCACATGTGCTCTGGATGGCTGCTCCTCATGAGGAGACCACAGTACAGTGGTCTTCTGCAGGTTTGAGCACCAGGAGATGAAGGGATTAGACAACTTGCTCGCAACCGCAGCAGAGCTTTTTAAAGGGCATTAAGTTCACAAGACTCACTTTCTAATCACTTTTGGAAATTGTCTATTAATCATCTTAAAGCTATTAGAGACCTTTGGAATAACAAGACTGAAAAGTCACCAGGTGAGTTTAGCTTCAACTCTGAACAAAGGAAAAATTAATTATAAGCTTATGAACTTAAAGAATTTGAAATAAGCAGCAAAAAGTTAAATAAGATTTTAATCTAAGAAAGTTATAAAGAAATTAAGGATCCAGTTAAATTTGGAATATTGACTTTCACTATAAGATTTTGGAATTAGCTATAAAAAATAAGTAGCTTCTCAAGGGAACCAGATTTATTTTGGCTTTCTTAGGTTATTGTACAGGTATTCAACATTACAACAGTGCTGAACAAATGGTAGTTACAACTAGTCCTCAGAATTCCAGCCATTCCAGCACCCCTGTGATCATGTGATCACGATCTGGGTGCTTGCCAACCAGTTCGCACTTACAACTGGTTGCAATGCCCTGTGATCACATGATCGCCATTTGCAACCTTCCCTGCCAGCTTCCCCAGAAAGTCAGTGGGGAAGCCAGCACAGAAGGTCACAAATCACTGGGGTAAGTGTCCCCCACCCGTGCACCCTCCCTGACCTATGCCATGTCTCTCATGCACCCGCTCGCACCCTGATGCACCCTCCCTGACCCACGCTGAAACTCTTGCATACCCCCTCACATCTTGGTGCACCCTCCCCAACCCGTGCCTTTCATGCACCTCCTTACCCCCTTGTGCACCCTCCCCAACCTGCAATGCACCTGTTGTGCACCTCCTCATACCCTTGCACACCTTCCCTGACCTGTGCTGCACCTCTTGCGCACCTCCTCGCACCCTTTTACACAGTCCCTGACCCACACTATACCTCTCATGCACACCCTCACACCCTTGCACACCTGCCCAACCTGGACCACTGCTCTTGCATACCCCTGCACACCCTCCCTGACCCTCGCTGTGCCTCCCTCACACCCTCACACAGCTTCCCTGACCCTTTTCCTTTTTTCTTGCACTTTTTATTCTTTATTTCTATTCTCTTTTCTTTCTTTAAGTTTAGTTTGTATTGTTGTATTTTTTTACTATTGTAATTAAAATCCTTGATAAAAATTATATATGCAGAGATTCTTTGTCAGAGTTCTTCCTTGTTGGACAATCACTACCTGTCAGGGCACAGATTTGTGACTTAGGGGCTCTTTTGGACTCATGGCTCCTGCTGGATCAGCAGTTGGAAGCTGTGGCCAGAAGGACCTACATCCTGCTTCAGCTGCTGCATGAGTTGGGACCCTACCTGGGACAGGAGGACTTACCTACTCTAACTCATGCCCTTATCACCCACCGATTGGGCTTCCATAACACCCTCCACTTGGGGTTCCCCTTAAAAACTCAGAAAGTACAATTAGTCCAAAATGCAGTGGCCCATGTACGTTCCAGCTCCCATCACTGAGGGCATACAAGAGAAGTTTTGCAGACCTTGCATTGGCTGCTAATTGGTTCCAGGTACAATTTAAATTGCTGGTTTAAACCTTTATGGGTTGGCACCTGGATATCTGCAGAACCACTGACTCCTACCAGTACCAGCCCGACCAATTCAATCAAACAAAGAGAAACTGGTACTGATCCCACATTTTCAGGAGCTCCAGGGGCCTGAGGTGAGGAGAAGCTGTTTTTCCATGACAGCACCAACAGCCTCCCATCTGAGATCAGGCCAGTCCCCTCTTGGCTAACATTTCTTCATGTTCTATTTTTATCGCTTACATTTTTGTGTGGGTGCGGTTGTTTAATTGTTTTATAGTTATACTGATGTTTTATTTGGCTTTATACTTTATGTAAGCTGCCAAGAATCTCTGGACTGCAGTGGGTAATAAGCAAATGAACAAACAAATAAGTACCCCTATGCTACTGCTAACTGTTGAAGGGTGAAAATTAAGTGTTTTAGCCGCCATCCCATAGAAAAGTGGAGGCCATTCTGACTTAAGCAGGGCAGAGTATTCCATAATGAGGAAGCTGTTACTGAAAAAGCCATCTTATGAGCTTTTGACCTCAGGGGCTGGGAACTTACAGTGCCCTCTCCCAAATAGGCTGTGTGAGGCAGGCAGATTCCCCCTGCAGTAGATGGTCCAAAGGAAATGAGGGTTTAAGACTTAGAGTGCATTATAGACAACAATCAGCACCTTGAATTGGGCCTGGATAGGTGTGATTTTATCGAACCAATTAGCATAGGCAGCCAGTAAATGTGCAGCTACATTCTGTAATCAGCTGTAGCTTCTGGATCATCTTCACTGTTAGCCTCATGTAGAACAAATTGCAATAATCTAAGTTAATATCATTCATTTCAATTTTATTCTGACATATCACTATCATTCCCGTACAAGCCTTTACAGTATTTCTTTCAATGTTCCCTCACTTCAGTTTTACACCAAAGCATTTCATCGCTTTTATTCTGAATTCCATTCACTTAGCTCTTTCCTAAATGACTTTTATTCATCAAAATAACTGCATTTTCTTTGCCTATTAATCTTAAATAATTTCTTGCCTCTCATTTGCAGCTATCTTTTTTCTGTCTTAACACATTATACAGTATCTTTCAACCTCGTGTTTTTGCAGGAATCATTCTTTCTATACATTGCTTCTCATCCACAGCCTCTTCCTATTCATCATTTTTTGAGTTTTGGCATTATTTTTGCTCATGGTCCTTCCTACTAAAAATAAATATACTACTCTTCACATTTCTCAGAAAGAGAGATTCATATTCTTAGAGATGTAAAGGTGTATATATAACCCTTTTGCATCTCAGTCACTTAGAAATGGGGGACCTTTTTTACTTTGTATTTTTGAAATTGTTTTCTTCTCTTTCTCCTCTTAAAGCCAGAGAACCTCTTGCTGGCATCCAAACTGAAGGGAGCCGCTGTTAAACTGGCTGACTTTGGTCTTGCCATTGAAGTGGAAGGAGAGCAGCAGGCTTGGTTTGGTGAGTAGAAAGAAATTGGGCTTGTGGATGTTCCATTTTTGTTTCGGGCAATTGGCATAGTAACTGCTCATCTCAGTAAAATGGAGCAATGCATTAATTCTGCACCTCTGTAAATTAGTATTTTTCTACAACTGGCACCCTCTGAAAGTGATAGATTAATACTTTCTTCTGGTTCTCCAAAAAAGATAAAGGGACCTGTCCAGTTAGGGCACTAGTTGTAGAAATGTTAAACTTACCTGCATGATTCTAATTTTTCTGTAAATTAAGAATGGCTTTTACTTCAAAATTAAACTGAAGCAAAGGATGTTTTAATCTCCCATTTTGTTTAGGCATTTTGATTGATTATGTGCCATCAAGTCATTATCAGCTCCTAGCAACCACATAGATTTTTCTCCATGTTTTCTCCATATTTTATGGCTGATAAAAAGGGATATGGTCTCATTTTCTAAGAGCTATTAGATTAAATCACTTCAAAAGTACATCCCATTTTTATCATTTACCATTTAGGATCTTGGAAACTGTACAGATTGTGCTGCTTTACTAAACATAATCATTTTTCTAGAATGTTTTTTAGTCTGTTATTCATAGATTTCAATCTCTTTAGAACTTGCTGCTTCATTTTTACATACTGATATATGTACACCCCATCTTCCTTGTGTTGGAATGAAATTATAGTTTTCTATTCTATTTTCTGTAAACTATTTTCTATTTATTTGTATTTTGCATAACTGTATGATCCTGTTTATCTTTAAGTTAGCTCTGATAATCTCCAGTGAGAAATAATATAGAAAATGTGTTTCTTAAAAAAAAAAAAGGGGGGGGGGTTGACATATAACCTAGTACAATTCCATGTTTATCAAATATATTATTAAGATCATATCAAACATATATAGACCTGCTACCTATAATAATACAAAAAGTGTACCTCAAGCAGATCTGAGTACATCAAAATGAGATAAACCATATAGTCAATACATTATAAGAGCATGTTCATAGAAATAAGATAATCGATTACAAATTCTTTAAATAAGGCAAAACTATGATGATATAATGACTGAATTAATCACATCTGAACCAAAGATATACCTAGAAAGAGCTAATGAGTTTCTACAGTGCCCTCTGTACTCTCATGCGATTCTATACAAGTTTGCTCATAAGTAAATCCCACTGAGTTCAGTGGAACTTATTCCCACAAGTCAGTGTGTATAGAAGTGCATGCAGCCTCCATGTACTAATGGCTTGGATCAGAAGTGGATAACATGGATGCATGACTGGTACATGTGAAAATTGATTTTTGTTGGCAGGCTTAACTATATATCTATGCACACACACACACACACACACACACGTGTTGTATGTAGGACACTGCTTCTTATTTTTGTTCCACGGATATATTTTTAGAGAGATGGTAACAATATATACCCTGACCAGTAAGCCCTTAATGCCTTGCTCTTCTCCTAGGTTTTGGGCTAGAGTGGTTGGTGGGCGTCTAGTTTTGGTGGTGGTAGCATTCTTTTTCCAGATGTTTCTTTTGTGTTATTCTATTTTAATTGTTTCATGTTGCATGCTAGAGTCAGGATGAAGTCAGGTGGCCTATACTGTAAATTAAACTAACTAACTAAAGAGTAAGGAACCCTAACCTAGAAAACCTAACCCAGGAATAGCTGCATTTACTGGAGGAGGGGGTTAAAAAAAAAAAAAAGGTAGTTGTGACCATGCAGTTGAAGCCCCAACCCTTTGTATGTGTGTACAATTCAACAATGCAACATTGATGCATGTAGAAAAGGTGTGGTGCTTTGACTGTGTAGTTGTGACTGCCATCTTGATTTTTTTTAGCCCCCACTTTGTAGAACAGTGCTGCCCAAAAAGCGAGTTTTAAAAAATATCTGGTCAGGTGTTTTTAAGGAGTTGAAAAATCCATTATTGAAAGTAAACTGGTGTCAACTGATGGCAGAGGGACTTAGTTGTCAATGGTTTTCCTATTTACAGTTACCAGAAAGATTCTAAGTAGACAAAAGAATTTATGGCATTGAATATTCTAAGACTGACTTTGAAACAGAGTTGTGTACAAATGATGAACATGTGATTGCTAAAGTGTATAAACTTTTATTGAAATCTGAAACAGAAGAAGAACAAGTGAAAGAATGTATGATAAAGTGGGCTAAAAATGTTGGTTATAATACACAGATGGAACAATGGGAAACTATGTGGTTGAAAGGATTGAAATTTACACTAAGTTATAAACTTAAAGAGGACTTTTATAAAATGATGTACCGTTTGGTATATGACACCAGAAAAATTATTGAGAATGTATAAAGATACTTCAAATCTATTTTGGAAATGTGGGTCAAGAAGGGTCATTTTATCATGTTTGGTGGACATGTAAACAAACTTTTCCTCTTGGGACTGATGGATAAACAGTTGGAAAAAAGTCATGGAACTTTGTTTTTATATATGATAACCACAGGAAAATTATTATACATGCAAAGATGGAAAGATTTGGCAATACCTACAATGGAGGAATGATTGGTGAAGATGATAGAACTTGCTGAGATAGCCAAATTGACCTGTTTGATTAGAGAAAAGACAATATCCACATTTATTGCTGACTGGAAACCCCTTATGGACTTTTTGCGTAAAACAGAAAAAAATGAACTTCTGATCTATGGTTTTGATGATTAGATAGGATAGATTATAGAAAGAGAGTCACAATGTAGCTTCAGAGAAAGAGGTAAATCTACAATTGTACTTATAACTGTTGTAAAGAAAATTGGAAGCCACTTCTTTATATCTTTTTTCTTTCTTTCTATTTTTCTTCTACCTTCTTTTTCTTTTCTTTTTCTTTTTGCACTTTAGCTTTGTCTTTTATTTCTTCCTTTTTCCCTCCTTTCTCTATTTTAGACTGTATTAATTTTTATTTTTGTTTTTAAAACTTTCAATAACTTTATATTTTTTAAAAAAGAAAGTAAACTGGTGCAGGGCTGAAGCCAGTAAGGCAGGAATCAATAGCTCCCAGGCTGGGAAGAGCCATATCTCAGCCACCCAAGGCCACCAAGCAAACCACTATGAATCTTAATCAAAAAGCAGGGAGGAAAAAGCCAGGAGTTTCAACACTGGAGTATAGATGTATAAAGACTCTGAATTCTTTGCTTTGAGAAGGACAATCAGCTGCTGTGTTTAAGGCTTCATTCTGGCCAAGTCATGCCTAAGCATCTTCTCCCAACTCAAGCTAAGGGCTGAATGAAGGGTTAAGGGTCTGGAGAGCTATGATCATTTATGTCAGATGTATGAGAATTGCATATTGCTGAAATATATGCTGCATCTCAAGCTAACTACTTCAGTGGAGTTTCTGTTCTGAAAAAGTCAGCCACCCTAATTTAGATTATGTAAAGCACCCTGATTTAAGAGGTTTCTCGAAACTGATATGTTCACTTTGGTCATATTAGATCTCTCTCTTCCCCTACTGGTATTTGTTTAGCCATTTCTAAATATATTAATAATACTTCATATATTATTAAACCCAGCTACCACTCCAGATGTGTGTGTGGGTGTGTGTGTGTGTGTGCGTGCGCGTGTATAAATAAAAAAAAATCTGGAGTATTAGCTGGGGTTTAATTAACTCACAATAACTGCAAGCTGATTAGGTCATCCTAATGTCTGTTACTATTGTATCTTTGAGCTGTAGACACAGGCTGTTAAGGGAATACATTTATAATTTCCAAGCCATAAATACGTTTTGCAAATACACTAGCGCAGCACATGCTTCTGCAAGCAAAATAATCCCAAAAGGATCTTGAGTAACAAGGCTGGAAAAAAGATTATTGCTTTGAGACTTCAGAGAGCTGCAGTCGGTTTGATCTGACAATGCGTGCCTGGATGGGGCAGTGGTGGGATGAAAGGCACTTTCATTTGGCCATTGCTTCTACTTCATAATCCCTCAAAACTCATTGGAAGATGATTGGTGGTCCTCTTCAAGTCGATGAGACTTGCAGAGGTGAGAATCAAGGGCAAAATCACTGTTCTACTGCCAAAGGTCCTGCACCAACAAATATCCTCCCATACCAAAGGGGAAGAAAGAAAAGGAAGACAAGTCCAACCTGCCTGCTGTTTTGTTTGCTGGCGAACAGAATCTTGTCAATTTCATGCTGTACTAAGAGAGAGATGGGAAACTGTCAAGCCGGCATTCCCAGTACAGGTCTCATAGGGTGAACTCAAAACCAGGAGGAGGAGTTCCCTCCAGTGGAGAAATTGCTTGCAATCTCTGCTTTATGCAGAGGAGAGAACCTCTAGCAGAAGCAGTAAAATCAGATCCAAATAGAGTAGAAGTAAGAAGAATAGCTCCCATACTATGCATCATAATAGAACACGAGGCTCAGTAGATGACAATTATCACTGCTATTTCAGCTCTTAATATTTATCATGCAATAAGAAATCCCAAAACTGAGAACTGCTCGAAATGAAAAGTTGTTAATTCTCCTGGGAGCAATAGTGTAATTAGTTATATATTTTGACAATTACCAGGTTTTGCAGGCACTCCAGGTTACCTTTCTCCTGAAGTGCTCCGGAAGGATCCCTATGGCAAAGCTGTTGACCTTTGGGCATGTGGTGAGTGAGAGTATGTTTCAAAAAATGCTAAAAACAGTCACTTTGGGGAAAGACAAAGAGTCCCATGTGATCTACCATCAAATTTTGTCCATGATCATTCTTATCTTGTCCATAGGATTGGTTATTTCTGAAAATATTTAGTGGAATGCCTTCCCCATCTGGTGTTCTCTAAATGTGCTCAGAAGTCATTTTGGTTGGGGGATAAGCATTTGAAATTTGATAGATTTGGAGGGCATGAGTTTGGGAAGGCTATGGTCCATACCACTGTCAATCTGAGAGCTGTTTAACCTAAATAACAGGTTAGAGAGCAATATGTTCAATGAAATCCCATGAGAAGGGTATGGATTAATGAATAGAATATGAAAGTCATCATCATCTCCTGTAGTGGTTCTTCTGCTTTGACCACTGGAACAATTTTGTGTGTGAAAAGGCTGTGGAAACTTCTCCTATTGAGGAATAGCTACTCATATTGGGGAAACTTTTTTTTCTCTTTTTTCTACAAGAGGCACTTTTGACATACAGCTAATCCTACAATTTATAAGAAAATTTCCAGCCATGTTTTATTCAATTAAGGACAGCTAACCAAGTATGTATTATGTTAAATTGTTACGTAACCAGTAGGTTAGAAATCTTAAGATCCTATTTCTGTGGCAGTAAACAACTAATAATTAAGTGAATTTGGTTCAACTGCTTGGATGTTATATGCATTTATAACACTCCAGAGCAACCAGCATTATTAACAACATACAATGGAGATTAAAGGTTCCATTTTTTGAAGTTTGTTAATTTGAGAATTGGTCTTACTTGCCATTACCATAGCATCAAATAATCCCAAATACTTATTAACCTTCCTTGTTCCATGTATAGTAAGGACTGTCATACTTACTATACAATGGAAGAAGACTGACCACTTCTAACACTCAACTCCAAATTATGGCAGAGGTATGAGTAAACACTGGTGACCTGAATTAAAATCTGCAAATTAACTACCATAGCAAATATTATTCTTGCATAGGAACAGCTTCCTGGAGTTTCATTTTGGGTCTGGTATGAATATTGAATCATGAAATTTGAAAGGTAGAGAGTAAAACAGTTAATGTCATAGTAGGATGACTTGGCATGCTGTCACCTCCCAAGTACACCTAATTCTGAGGATCAAGACCCTAGCTGTTGTTGAAATTCCTTGAGACATTCTTTTAAGCAACACTTTGTTTACTTCCTCCTATTAAGTGAATTATTTTTTACAGGTAGTCCTTGGGTTACTCGCTCAGCAACCATTCAAAGTTATGACAGCACTCAACGAGTGGTACTTATGACTGACCCTCAAAGTTCCAGCCATTGCAGCAACCCTGCAGTCACATGATCGCAGTTTGGGACCTTGGCAACCAGCTGGCACTTACAATGGTTGCAGTGTCCCACGATCATACGATCACCATTTGCGACCTTCCCTGCCAGCTTCCCACAAGCAAAGTCAGTGGGGAAGCTGGAAGGGAAGGCTGCAAGTTGCTCCCTTAAGTTTCTCCCTGTCCTACTGCTTTTTCTCCCTGGGATCTCATACTCTGTAGTGTGCACCCGCCCACAGACCCCCCCCACCCCCACTTGAGTCCATCCCAAGCGTAATACATCCCTTGCTCAAAGCACACATATACAGTCCATCCCTTACCCGAGCAAGCACATGCATGCTTGCCTGGCCAGACTCCAGCCAGACCATATTCCCCCCACCCTGCCTGGCTGCACTCACATTGGGACGCAGCACCCACCTGCACACCTGCCTGCACTCCTCAACACCCACCCACCTTCAAGCCATGCCACACCACTCCCTTCATCCATCTGCACTCCACAGCACTCACCCACCTGCCCACCAACCTGCTTGTGAGCTGCCTAAGGAAAGGCTTGTCATGACCAGGATTTACAACTTCCTGCCAGCTTTCCCATTGAGTTTGCTTGTTGGAAGTCCTTGCTTAATGACCCACAATCCTTGCTTAATAATGGCAACCGGGACTGCCAGGATTGCCATAGCTAAGCAATGTGGTCAGGTGACATTGCACTTTATGACCACATCGCTTAGCATCAGAAATTCCAGTCCCAATTACTGTCGTTAAGCAAGGACTTCTGGTTAATTATAGGCAGTGCAGACCCTATCAGTCTAAGTATGAAGTTAGGAGTTTTTGCTCTCCAACATGCATCAGAATAGTTTGGTGTTATCTGTAAACTTCCCCAGCTGGCTGCTAACCCCTAAGTCAAAATCATGTATGGACAAGATAAAACACCCTGGTCCCAACACAGATCCTTGAAGGACTTCTTATTTCCCTTCATTGAATACCATGCACATGTATTCCTACGCTTTGTTTTCTCATTGTTAATAAAATACTAGGACACGTCTTATCCCATAAGAGATAAGTTTACTCAAGAACCTTTGATGAGGAATTTTGTCAAGGCTTTGTGAAAATTTAGGCATACAGCATTGACAGGATCCCACCATCCATGGCCTGCTGGCCCTTTCAAAAGACTCTAAATGATTCATGAGCCAGCATTCACCTTTGCAGAATCCATGCTGATTTTCCTTCAGCGAGCCTTGTTCCTCCATGGACTTAGTTTGTTTTTTTGTTTGATTATAGCTTCTTCCAATTTGCCTGGAACAGGTTAAGCTGACTGGTCTGTAATTTTCTGGATCTCCCACAGATCCCTTTTAAAATTTTGGAGACTGTTATGAATGCTTCGCAAGGCCATTACGTCTTGCTTTCTCCAGCACAGGGTGACTAGCCCCGATTCCTAGGATTGGCTTATTGTAATACATCCTTGTCAAAATCAAACAATTTATTCCCACAGCCACATCTTCATAGCAGAGCAAAACAACTTAGTCTACGAGGGAATTCTCAGACTCATAATGTAGCTAGTAACCATTATGTAAACAAAATGTAACGGCAGACTGACCTACCTTCTCAGAAGTGATTGCCCTCCTTCCTGTTACACTGAAAGGAAACAAGGAAGGAAGCCAGAATCTAGTGGCTCTGAATTGCCTATAAATAGGTTCCACATCTGAAAGCAAATTTACTTGCCAGAAGTCTGGTGTTTTTACTGCAACCTTATTCCTAATAAATCTAATTAACCTCAGTGAACAGAGAACTGTTCCTTGGTATTTTTCTCCCGTTCTGATCGTTGCTAGGAGGAAAAGTCATCCTATTCATAATTTAACACCTTTTTGCAATGCTGTTCATAATAAAAATATTTATTTTGAGTGCTTTTATGCTACAGATTTTTTTTTTAAATCATGATTTGATGAAGAAATGGCATAGCACATATATAAGACTGGAAAAATGAAAAATTGAACAACATAATTTTTTTTTCTCTCTTCTATTGATATCCATCCTCTGTGAGGTACTTATTACAAAAATTTAAGGATCAGTGTCAGAAGATCATTGCTTTCAGAAGTTCAGCTCAGCTTTATCTCATAAAATAGGTCCTCCATGCTTAAAGCCTGAAGAACTTTAAGATGTCCTTTGAATTCTCCATTGCATGGGGTACTGGGAGAAAATACGATCATATAGAAAGTGACTCTCAAAGCTTTCTGGCTTTTTAGCCAATCACTAGGAGAAGTCCAGTCTCCTGAAGCCTGGGCTGTCTGGTAAACTTACTATTTATTTGTAGAAATATATCTAACTGTTCTTTCCACCAAGTAAATATATCTAACTGTTCTTTCCACCATCATTCAGCCAAATGGCAATGCTAAAGATACTTTTTCAAATTCATGTGGAATAGTGGGTCTTGTTTTCAGGCAAATTATGATACCGATGATTCAGATTGAATTGCAAAGAGCTCACACTTATGCCTAAATCCTTGACATTTCAGAGAAGAAGTAACTGTTTTATACAACGTTAGGATAATGTTGGCTGCACAGGAAGATACTTAGCTCTTTACTCATCTCATTTTTTGTCTTACTCACAGTGTAGGCCTACTCAATCTCCCGTGTCAATCAATTCCTTTCCACTAGCTTATGTAACAATGTCCCCTCTGAACACACAGGAGTTATTCTCTATATTCTGCTGGTTGGCTATCCTCCTTTCTGGGATGAGGATCAACACCGATTGTATCAGCAGATCAAAGCTGGAGCCTATGATGTAAGTGAGCCTTCCCTTCATATTCTTCCTCTCTCTCCCACCTTAATTTCTTTGAATAACTTGCTTTATCCACACCCCACCACATTGGAAATCAACCTAAATACCAATCTAATGTTGCAAGTAATATGTTGGACCAGGGGCGAGACCATATTCATATCTCCACTTGGATAATTAAGTCTGATGAACCATGGCTGTCAACTGCTGTTGAACTCCAGCTTCATTCATTTCTAGCCAATATGGTCAACAGAGAAAGATACTGAGAACTGTAATTCAGCAAGATTTGGAAACCATAGATTCCCATTTCTGGACTAATCTGTCTCTCCGACTATTTTATCCTATGGGCTTGTCATGAAGAAAATTTGAGTGAGGCTGAGCCTTCTATATTTATTTATTTAACATATTTCTATGTCACCACACTCAGAAAAGTCTCTCAGCAACTTACGTAGAACAAATAGGGATTTAAACATCTACAATAAGAATGAAACAACTACAAAGCAATAGAAAAAAAAAAGCCAATGCTCTTATTGTGTCAGTAGAAGGGAGTACATGAGATTGTAATAGAGACGGAGTTCCAACAAGGAGAGTTTGTAGACAATGGGGCATCTGCTGGCACAAAATCTCTCTGCATGATTTGGGGTGATGTTCCCTTCCTGTGGCAGCTCTGTATAAAACAGACCTGCTGACCCTGTGGGGAGTTTCCTTTCTTTTTGGGGGGGGATGTTTAGGTTGATAAAATGGGGAGAAGGGGACGAAAAAGATTGTCTATATATGTGTTTTCCATATACAAATATTGGACACAAAACCCCTTGATGAGTTTTCATACTATCCTTTGGCAAGTGAGGTCCTAAGGTGGGTAATAACGTAATTGACAATAGCAATAAAGAGGCAGCAATGGAAACAGATGGTAAAAGGTAAGGCCCACAATTAAAAGCAGCACTTAAAATGTTTACAGTTCAAATCTAAATATGCCCGGAAGTATAAGGGTGGGAAGGTGGGACAAAAGTAGTAGCAGTAGTAATGACTGTAGCAGCAGCAGTAGTAGCAACGGTAATGCCTGCACTCAGCACTCTGGGGAGAAAGTTTTATAAATGAAGATTATTGCTTGGTGATTCACTTGCTAACCTAAAGACATGAGCCTGGTCAGATAGGAACAGACAGTAGGTTCTACCACTTGCCCTCAGGATCCTTGCCCAATTTGTCTTGTTAACTTGTAGCAGGAATGTTATTAGGGACACTTGAGTTAACATCATAAATGCCTCTCTGAGGGCAGGTGGGTGGGGTGTATCTTTGTTTATAGGAGGCAATTATTAGACCTTCTCTGAGTAAACCTTCCCTGATTCTTCCCAGTATAGTCCCTGACCTACCATGGTTGGGTGATATAACTGTGAGAATAGTGGCTTTTCAACTGAAGGTACTTCTGGAGGAAACAAATTATCTTGGCTCATTTCAAACTGGCTTTGTGGTGGGCTTCAGACAGCCTTGGTCTGCCTGATGATGACTTTTATTTGGGGATCAACAGGTGGAGTGTGACTCTATCAAAACCCACTAAGATGTCAATGAGAACCAGTGGAGTTCTATGTGGATCTGTACTTATGTCTAGTCTGGAACATACTGCAAGGGCTTATCCAGACAGTCACCAGGAGTCAAAAACTGACTCAAAGGCATACACACACACACACACATACACACAACACATTATCTTCAAAGCCTTACATGACTTAGGTCCAGGTAATTGAGAGAAGATAGTTTTCTGTATGAACCTCCACATACAGAAGGATGTTTAAGGAGGTTTGCCTGCAATTTCTATGATCACTTTTGGCAATAATGTATGGTTGAACCTCAGCTCTTTGGGATGCATTCCCTGCAGAGTTGAGGGGCCTAACATCTGTCTTAGCTTTTAAAAAGGCCCTTACAACTCATCTTTTTGTACTGGCTTTTAATAGTTAATTGTAGTTATTTCCCCCTAGTCAGCAATATACCAAGTTAAAACACACATCCATAATGTGTACTTACATACCTGGGTTGCAAATCATTTTGTGCTTTTGGTACAAACAGTTACTGTCCCAGGGAAATACATCTTGTCTTAATTCTCATTCCCTGCAGAGAATTAAGTCTCTCATCTGTAATAGTGGTAGCAAAGCCCCCCTCTCCCCCCACCCTCCATAATTAAGCAAGAAAGATTAATCATCTCTAATCAAGGCTTCTGGTAACCATTGGAGGTAAAAGAGATGTAGGAAGCAGAATATCTGCGTTCATAAAACAGTAGTTTCCCACAAAAGCAATTTCATCTGCTAGGGTTCCATTCCAGGTTCTTCTCTTCCTCTTTCAAGAGCTGCATTCTTGCTCTCTCTCATGTGAATACGAATGTTAAAAAAAATTAAAGTTTTGATGAATAAATAATACCAAAAATATTAGCTCAATAATAAATATTTGCCAGTCAACATACTTCTCTGGCAAGTGTAGGATAGGAACTTCCATTTCACTGGCATTTACATATAGACCCTCTGGGCCTTGTAATAAGTCTGCTGTGAGGATGCTGCTCTTTCTGTGGTGCATGTTCAGTAACAAACTGGCACACCTATTGAAGAAGGGCAGTTTGGGGGTACACAGACTTTGGCAGAACATTCCTAGTATCTGGTTGGGCCTCGTGATCATTTGTGCTATAATTACTGCCTTTTATGGGATGTGCTTATCAAGAAATGCATCCAGGACAGCTCTACCTTTAGTGGTTGCCATGGGAAACCATTTGCATCCCACCTAAGGCCTGTAAAGTCAATTATATGCATGCTCATTAAGTACAGTAGTATTCGGCACAGCATAAAGCCCAGGTTTTCAGCAATTTCCTGAAAGAAGTTATTATTTTCATCAATTCCTCATTTCAGGTCTACTGTTTCATTTATAGTATACAAAAGATCATGGGCAAAACCACCAAACCATTTGAAAGATATGTTGAACTGTTATAAGAAGTTTTCTCTTCCTGCACTTGCAGTTTCCTTCTCCTGAGTGGGATACTGTTACTCCTGAAGCAAAGGACCTCATCAATAAAATGTTGACAATCAACCCATCCAAGCGTATCACAGCAGCAGAAGCTCTGAAGCATCCATGGATATCAGTAAGTGCAGCATATTTCTCTTACAAGCTGCTCAGATTCTGATAATAATCTCCAAATGACAATTCATTTAATTCAAGCCCCCCCCCCCCTTAGAACCCTTTGAAAGTTGCCATCTGGACTGCCCAGAGTCATTGGGAGTCGGGTGGGGTTCAAATCAGATAAATAAATAAATAAAATTGTAATGATTAAGATTATAGAAAGGAACATTTTAAGCACACAAGAAGTAATAATCATACTGAATGCAATTTTAATTTAATTAAAATTAATTTCTTAAACTAAATTTCAGTTTTGTCCTGACCCCATCCACATCTTTGTCCTGAATCTCCCCCCACCATTTTTTCTCAGAGTGCTGAAATAACAAGTATGGCGCTTGATCACAAAAGTTAACAACCTCCACATTTTACTGTTGGGAGGAAAAATTGCACTTATCTAGTAGAGAATATGCAAAGCTATGCAGACAATTATGTAAAGTACATGGGATCAGTCAAAATGATACCTCCAATGCCCCTTTTCTAAAAACAAAAGCTAATTGGGCCAAACTTTGAATCTTTTTGCAACATTAGTGGGGAACAGCATTCTTGAGGGCAACAAGTTATCTTAGGAGAGGCAGGGCAGGGTATATGAATGTCTTTCAATACATCATTACTGCTTTTATTCTACATCATCTGCTACTTGAGATGACTCCCTCATTCTGCTAGTTCTGAAAGTCTTATTTTTAGTTTTGGCATATTTTAACTTGCATTAGATTATACAAGATGCATGCCATAAGTATACTATGTATGCTTTTATGGGCAAAGCATTAGGAAGATTAATAGACAACTCTTTACTACAGAGGTGGCCAAATGCTTTTGGCCAGGAAACCTTCTAGTGGTATAGGATATCATTGGAAAGGAGGGGACCAAACAGTTTCATCCCATCCTTCAGAGGATTTTGTTCATCTTTGAGGGTGGGACTGCAAATGCTTCATTTCCCAAAGATCTTGTGCTCCCATTCCCACATTTATTTCTCCATTGTTACCTGTAAATCATGCAGCGGAAGGTTGAACTTTTTCCAGCCAAATGTTCATTCTCTTGGGGGCCTTCAGATGCTGCAAGTAGGATCCCAGCAGGCTACATGATCCTCTGGAGCCATGGATTGCCCATGTCTGTATTAATCTACGTGACTCTTACTGTGTCTGTTTTTAATGTGGGCCACTTCTTTTGCCAAAATGGTTTTCCAGCAATAGAACCAATTTAAGAGGAGAGTCTAGGACATCCCAACCTCAAAAATCAAGGTGATTGAGCCTAAACAAGGACGTTTCCTAAGGTACAATTGCTAGTTTCCGAAGACCATGGTCCCAATGTCTGAGTTTCCCAGTATGTGCTACTAAACTCATCTAGTTTATTTATTTGTTTATATGCTGTTCGATCCAACAAGGCTCAAAGCTGGTGTAGAAAGTAAGGAAGATTACCTTAATGGAAATATCTCAATAAAGTTTAGTTCTGGTCTTCTGTGGAGTTGATATCCTGGTTTATCTAATGGGGCTGACAACTGCTTAAAGTAGAAAAGGATACATTAAAATAAAGCCCATCAAAAACTAGGCAAAACAAAGCAATAGCCTCCCAAGGGCAAGCCACAACTCCCAGTCTTTTTCTGGAAAGCTATCCATATCACCAATAGATTTCAGTCTCTGCAGAAAAGCCAGGTTGTAATGGCTTTCAGATATAACAATAGTGTGTGTGGAGCTGAAGAACAGAAAGCAACCCAGGTTTCATAGACCATATTTACAATCAAACAAATAAACACAGCTTCTAATACAAGTCCAGGTTGCTAAAATAAAGGAGGGCTTTGTATTTATTTCCATTTCTAAGCATGCTTCCTTTATATCTTTTAGCACCGTTCCACTGTGGCTTCTTGCATGCACAGACAGGAGACTGTTGACTGCTTGAAGAAATTCAATGCCAGAAGAAAGCTAAAGGTAATTATATGATTTGGTGCTTCCCTTTCATTTGTTCCCCGTGTTCATGTTCTACATCTTTCAAGACTTGGGTCCAGGTTAGGCTTCTTGCAGGTCTCTATTTATCTTCTGCAGGAGATCCAGATGACATCACCTGTAACTGGTAATTTTTCTATATTTTCTCACCACTCATGCTCACCTTTTTTCCACAAAAAATCACTGAGGAGGAAAAGACAGAATACCTATATAGTGTCTTTTCATATGGCAGAAGTAGGAAGCATCTGCCTAGAAGCATTCTATGACTTTAGGCTGGGCTATTTTTCTGTTTGTATAACTAAATCTGTTTCTGTACATGGGATAGACCTGTTTCCAGTTCAGTTAGACAGTGCTAATGCCACAGTCATTAGTTGAGACAGAAAAATAATTCAGAGTTTCACTATGGATAATGGTCTTGGTTCCTTAAAAAGTTTATTCAAGTGATCTTGTACATCTGAATTTGAAAAGCGAATACTTGGTCATTTCTTCGCTGAGTGAAAAGTTTTCTAGAGTCACCAAGCCATTGTTTTGCTAAAATAATGAGGACAGGCTTTATATTACATCAACAATGCCTGGGTGTTGCTATTAAATTGCTTTGGATCACTAGTTGGGAAATGACCTTATTAGTCTGAGTCCTTTAATTAAAATCTTAGAAGTAACTATAATGGCCTCCTGAGAGACTTTTGAAAGGTAATATCCAGTGGAATTTTACTTCCAGATAAACTGCATATTTCAAGGATCTACATTTGCAATTTTTAGATCACTGTTCACTCAGGATCTGCTACTGCAAGTGGGGAAGGGTTCAATTAGGAGACTTGGCAGCAATATCATCATCATCATCATCTAGAGCCAATGTTTTCTTGGATTACCTCCATATATATTCTACTTCTTTTATCTATGAACCCTTGCAGATTTCTCACCTTTGGGCTGGAAACTAGCAAAATTACTAGCCAATAACAGATAGTGATCTGTGTTTGCTTTTTATCCAGAAATCTGTTAATTCTGCTACTGTAATTTCTCACTAGCTCATACAGTCGATTGAAATATTGAGAAATGCTCAACAGAGGAGAAGGGAAGGCAGAGAGTGAGCAGCAAAGACACAGCCATTTGACCTTTTTACCCGTTTGCCTTATGCTCCAAAATTATATTCTGATGGACCTTTGGAATCTATCCATAGCTAGAATAACACAGAGAAGTAAATGCTCATTATTCTCATGCTAATTCAGTGTCTTTATTCAGTGCAAGCATATCTTGCTTTTTTCTATACATGCTAAACCAATTCCTCAGTACTCTCCATACATACATGTGTGGAAAGTTTCCTTTTCCTATATATAAACAGGCAATGCTAACAGGAAGTGAGTTGATTTTAAAATCTTAGGCTATGGCAAAGCAGGTACCTATAATGAATTATTTTATTGACTTGCAGAGAATGGCTCTGGAGATGTTACTTCAGTAACATACTGAAGTCTTCCCCTCTATAAAATGGATGTGAAGAGACCGATCTGCTCTTTGACATCTATGGGACAATATGCTATGTGAGAGCTGTGTGTAGTAATAGTAATGGTAATTGTGGTAGATTTTATTTAGAGCTGCTAAATTGAAGTGGTGTAGAACTATATGCCACAGATGAGTCTGTCTCAGCATGTCCAAATGTTTTTGTTTTTAATGCTGCAAATGGAATGAGTTTGGGGCATTATAGTGCAATCTTGCACTATAGCACAACACTAAATAATGGGAGAATTGGTTGTTCATTAGAATTTTTTCTGATATATGTCCTGACACAGATTACTGATGCATCAGAAAAGTTTTAATCAGTTGAATGTCTCAAAGATAGATGGCATATTTGGGATTCCACTTGGGTAACTGTAGGAAATCCTCTTTAACACGAGAAGATATTCATTAGTTAGTCTGGTCCCATCAGAGCTCAAGAGTTACTTATTTAGTGGAGAATGGAGTTTCATTAACATTGGAAGAAAAGCTACTTAATCTCCATAAGGTGATTATAATAAACTCTGTGTCCACCATTCAGAAACTTGCATTAAAAATCCCTGAGCCAATATCCAATGACTTGATTTCTGCAAACTGTTTGCTGTTTCTATTAATATCTTCACTGAACTATATTCATCCTGCCCCTGAAACAGGGCCAAAGGCACATTCCCGTTGTAGCCCCAGCCAGCTCCATTTTCCACTGAATGTTTTTAAGAAAAAGGAGATTGGGAGGGTGGGGGGGGGGGAGGGATAGGCCTGATTCTGAATCCAACATTGTGTCCTGTTTCCCCTCTTTTTCTTTTTGTCTTTTCTGTGTTCCAGGGTGCAATCCTCACTACGATGCTAGCAACCCGTAATTTTTCTGGTAGGTAACCCAACTCTATTTAATTGCTACCTCCTCACTTATTGGCTACTAGCTTTGGACAGAAAATATGATTGGATGGTGTGTTAGACTTCCACAAGCATGTTTGGGCATTTTCATATGACTCCCAAATGACTTTTTTTGTATATATGTTGAAATGTTCATACAAGAAAGAAAAGAAGAAGAAAACCTTTAAATGTATGTTGTAGCCCACACTTGGTGGTGGTGAGCAGAGGAAAAAGCACTGAAGATCTTATGTTATACAGTATATTCGTAGACGATGATTTAAATGTACTACCAGTCTAGGAAATGCAGATCCGATCACCTATTTCCCTTACTATGTTTTCAAAAATGTCCCTAAATGTGCCAGTTTGAATGTGGAAAGTAAGAAAGAAATTCTTTGGCCTTAGAAGAATCCATTAGGAGATTTAATAGAGTCTGTGCATTCTGTAGCTCTGGAGGAGGTAGTACTGAAGATGTTGGCTTCTTAAAGTATTCCTTATAATTTTGTGAAAGAAAGATTATTTTATGCAGTCTAATATTCTTAAACAACACCAATAACTTTTCCTTCAATGACTCCCCCTCCCATACCCTTTCCTTCACTTAAAGCTGAAAATCCACTGTTTGGAGTAATTAATTATAGTTCAGGCTCCAATTCACAGAGCGTGATGCGCTTAAACTCCCTGAGATTAACAGCTGATCAACATAGCTTGAGGAACATCTACTAATCATTTCCATAGGACATAGCTGCAT